GAGTCCCAAAAGGCAAATTATACCTCACAGATTGTCCCAACTGGAGGCAACAGAGTTGGGCTTTTGTACACCTGTACCCCTTAATTAATGGCTAAGGTCTACCATGGGCACTGAAATAGCCAGACATCCCCTGCTCTCTGAGGATGCAGACAAAGCAACCACAGAACCTCCCTCCATGGGTTCAGCCCACTAGATACAAAACCATAAGGAAGTTGGGGTAGGGATGCTGGCTAGAAGACAGAAATTACAGACGGGATCCTGGGGCATCTGTGTGCAAAATATCAGTGCCCACTATAACACCCACAGCTTCAGCCAGTGTGACAAATTCCAAATCTATATCACTACCACAGACCTAGTCCCTGAACTTCAGACCCATGTACCTGTCATTTGGAACTTTTCCTTGTCAGCCAGCCTCCCCAAATACACCTTCTCCAAAATGGGGCTCACATCTTTATCCTCAGGTACTGCTTCTCTCAGTGAATATCTCTTTCATACCCCCATGAATCAGTCCAGAAAATTCAATTCACTTTGCAGACATATCCTTAATTCACCAAGTCCCCCTGATTTTATCTATTCAGTATACCTCTGATCTATTTCTGACTCCCATGCCTTAGTTCCAATTAGTCCTTTCCCAAATGTCTCCTTATTTCTTCACTGTGCCCCCAATAATACATCTTCTGTTACACTACCTACTTTGGATTATCAGTTTTAGATTTAAATCTTACCATGACACTCCTCTGTTTAAAATCTTTCCATGACCTCTCATTTTGCAGCTTAAAAAACTAAATACTTGGTATTTCCAATTATGTCCATCCTGTCCTAACTCCTACTTTTCCAGCACCATCTTCCACCCTTAAAATCCCAAACTCAAGACACATTTAACAATTTATAGTTTCACAAAGTTGCCTTGCTCTCTTACTCTCGATGCAATCAATGAGCACCTTTCATCTGCCAATACTTGGTTCCTACATTAGATTTTCTGAAGACTTCCTTGGCATACCCTTTCCATCAGGCTGATGAATTTCCCCTGTGGTTCTCCACTGCAGGCTATGCATATTCTCATTATAGTATTTGTTTATTCCTAGATTGTTAGATGACTGGATCTTAAAGGACAGAAATATCATATATATCCTGGACCTGCTTTGCATGTTGCCTGATGTTCTAACTCCTGTCCTTTTGTCCCTCTTTTGACCCCTTATCCATGATCAGGCAATAGACTGTTGTATTTGGGACCAGGGATACGACGATAAGTAATGCTGGGTCTCTGTGTGCAGTCTAATAGGGAAGCTGTTCATATATGAGATGATTCAAATATAATCCTATGATGAGTTCTGAATTAGGGGGCTCTACTGGGTGCTGTGAGTTTCCAAGAGAAACATTAAGCCTAACCTAGAGGCTTAGAGAAGGTTCGCTGTAAAAAATGATGCCTGAGCAGAATTTCAAAGGAGGAATAAAGGTTAGCCAGTGAAAGAAATGTGATTCCTCCAGATGTTTCTATTTCAGCTTAAAGTCAGCAGTATTATCAACCAAACGGGTCTTGTCCTTAAATGTCACCAAAGAAACAACCAGCCAACTTGGAAAAGGACAGTAAAATGATAGGCCTTCCTCACCAAAGGTCTGTGTGATTTTGTCACTCTGTTGCATTGTTTCTGAGACTCAGTGAAGTTAAACACCAAGCAGGTTTATGCATATATTTAATAGACTGCCCTTAATGTAAGCATTATCTGGAATGAACTTTATTCGCACTCATTCTAGATCTTACTAGAATTAAACAAATTTCAGGCAAACTTTATATAGCTGGTCTTCCATTGTCTTTTTAAAGAAAGGTATCACTAGAGTCCAAAATGTTTGTAAGGGTTTCTTTTTTTAAAACATTATTGAAATAGGGTAAATTTTTATTATTATATATGAAAGCTAATCATTTCAGAGTAAACAACAGATGTTTGCACCCTTATTACTGTTTGGTACTGACATCGGTATTAAAAGATAATATGAAAACATGTCACAAACGTGAATGATGAATTCAAATGTCAGGAACGGAGGCAAAGAAATGTTTAAAATAGAAAATTTAAGGGTCTTGGATGAGAAGTAAAACTACGAGCACCTTCTTCAGGCCATGTGAAATACTACCTTTCCACCGAATAATAATAACCTGGAAAATTCCAAGACACATTTCCCTTCAAAGAGTTATCACTGAAGTATAGGTCACCAAAATGCTCACTTGACCTATTAGGTAATAGCACCTGTCAAAAAATTCAGTTGTGTCAAAAGTAATAAATTTATCAGATATTATGTATATAGATAAATAAATAGACCCATTGCTAGATAGATGTTTTCATGTTGCATACTATATTTTCTGGACATTATATAATATGTTTCTAGATACCTAAGTTCATATGTTTAGATACTGATTGACCTATCTTACATGCAGTTGCAGATTATATTATTAATTTAAATTGTTACCACCATTCAGTGTTTCCTGAGACAGAATCCGATTATGCTAAGCCATGAGACTGCCAAAATGGATTAGTTTTCATCCTGTAAAAATTTACTAATCTTTTTTATTCATGTAACTAAAAAAATATTGGTGCATTTCATGAAAGCAAACATTCTATGTCTTTTTTCCTTATCATTAACTTAAAGTCATCAAGCCCAAGGAAATGAGACACCAAAGGCTTTACCTCTAGAGCACAGGTTCTGTCTCCTCTGAACAGAAGATAGGCTCCACTTAGTTGGGCATCTTCTCTGTCTTGTTGAGTGCCTCCTCAGGGTCTATGATAAGGTTCAGAACCTAGGAAGATATACACTATATATCTGTTAAATGAATGAATGAATAATATAATAGTAACAGCATTCAGAGATTTTTGGGTTTCCATTAAAATAGTATCACCTTCAGTAGAGTTTTAAAACTTTCAAGACATTGAAAGTATATTAGAAATCATAAATGTTATATCTATAACAAAATTTGGAAATAACACTGTTAATGAAGAGGCTAGAAAAGTAAGTTGAGTTCACATTCATTTTTGCTCTCCACATGGAAATAAATGGGAATTGACTACAGCCCTCTGCTGTCCACAAGGGAAGGCCAGGGAGGCAGCTGGCTCATTTCCTTCTCCACAACCATTGACTATTCATCTAGCATTCTCTAAAGTAGGCCATGAAAAACAAGAATTGTTCATTTCCCTAGAGAATTAGTAAAGATGACATGACTTAGCTTTACAGTGTAAAGACATTGTTACTGCTGGAGGGAGGGTTGTGACTCTTACCTAGGGAAATGAGGTGGAAATCTAAGGCTTGGCTTCTCATCCAGGTCCCTCAGTGTTTCTCCACAGATTTGGGACTTTACTATTAATCTGAAAATATCTATTCTTGGTCACAACAGAAGCCACAATAAAAGAAAGTGACTGAATTCTTCCAGTCCCATCTCTAGCATAGTGGCCAATAATATGGGCTCTAGAAGTAGAACATGGGGTATGAATCTTCACATGAACTCTTAGAAGTGAGGAAATCTTGGGTAGCTTCCATAACTTTGTTGTGCCCCTTCATTGCCTGTGAAAAATGAAAACAGTAATAGTTCTCACTTTGTCGGTTGTTGTGAGAATAGTCAGTGATCAACGAGCACGCAAGAAGTATTTGTGCTACAGCAGCATTAGAAGAGAATATGACAGTCATTGCTTGGCCACAAAGGGTGAGAGTCTCATGTAGGGAAGAACTCACACTGGCTAACCTAGACACAGAATGTTAAACTGAGGCTATTAAAATAATTAAGGACATTTTTCACTTGCGGGAAATAAAAGGGAAAAAAACTGAAATGTATTATTTCCCTACTTCTGGCATGTACTCACCATACTGTCCTTCAAGTCATCTTCACAATAAATCTCAAGGTCACTATCATATTCCTATCTTCACATTTAAGAGTATGAGGCTGAGAGAGATGAAGTAACTTGCTGAGCTCCCAGTCCTAGCAAGTGGTAAATCTAGGACTCAAACTCAGGTGCATATTGTTTGAAGAATGCCCTGTGCTGCTCATGGTCCTGGACCTCTTGTGCAGGGCCCTGTCCACACATCCTGTCCCAGCTACTATGGGAACACTCCCGGCAACTATGAGAACAGGTTGTGGCTCCTCTGCTCCACGGCTCCTAAAGTAGTTTGAGTAATGAAAGCCTCAGCTGACCTCTTAGGGGAAGGTAATAATTTCCTAAACCAGTGCTTCCCGAAAGCTAACATGTCCTGGAGTCACCTGAGAAGTACACATTCTGGTTGAAGAACTGTACACAAGATTCCGTATTTCTAACACCTCCCTGTGATTCTGATGCTGCCGGCCCTGAAACTATGCCCTTGGGTAGTGAGAACAGCCTATCTTATGCGTGAAAAACAGAAATCAGTTTCATTCAGTGCCTGTTTGTGATGGCATGCTTTGGTTTGATCTAAAGTAAAAATAAATAAATAAATAAATAAATATAAATTAAAAAATTAAAAAAAATTAAATAGTAGGGATCCATGTCCTTCTCAAGTAAGTTTACTTTCCTAAATCAACTGTTTTATTTGAATGGTACAGAAGGGTCACTTACCAGTGAGGAAAAAAACAAAACAAAGAAAAACAACTGAGAACAGCCTGAAAAAATATGAGAATGAGAGAGAGGCATATTATGAGGCATCAAGACGTATGTATGGGCACCTACACCTCTAGCCCCTTCAAAATAAGATTCATTGATTTATCATTATTATTATACCTCTTCCAGCTATCATATCTGGCTTAGACATCCTCACACAGAAAGCTACACCATGAGCTGAGGTACAGGAAGCTATATGCAGATACGTAGGTAAAAAAAAAAAATAAAATAAAATCCTCCTCTCTAGTCCCTAAATACCTACTTGAGAAAATAATCTAGACAAGTGAAAAAGAAACACACATGTTCTTCCCCACTCCTCTTCTTTCCTTAAAGGAGAGGGAATTTTCCCCTCTATTTCCCAGGAAGAGAAAGGTTCAAGGGGATCCATGCAGCCTTCACATTTAGGTCTCAGGAAAGGGGGAGCAATTTCTCTGAAGATGCGTTCAGGAGAAAGCTCAGCATTTTTCTCCTTCAGGTCTGCCTGACAACAGGGAGAATGTCTAGGTCCACACTTCTGTGAGTCAAGAGACTCCAGCCCTGCTAGGGAGGCCTGCAGGTATGTGACATTGCCTGAGAGGGGTGGGAGGTCTATTTACTGAGTGATGTTTCGAGTGGTTCACCTGTTAATCAGACCCTATTTTCCACCATTTACCAGTTAAAGCTGGCATTCTGGCTTCCTCCAGCTGCCTCAAATACCTATCTTTTATTTGTATATTTATTTATTTGCCTACTTATTTAGTATTGATGTATAATTAACATACAGGGTTATATTAGTTTCAGGTGTACAACTGAATACTTAGCTTGTAACTGATTATTTATTTAGGAGAAAGAGAAGTTATTTTTACTGGCCTCCTCTGAAACCCTAGTCACAGCTTACTGGAATGGGGAATGTTGGTAGAGAAGGGCACAGTATGATTTGGAAGGAGAGGCAGCCATCACTGGTAGATTTAGAACATGTCAAATAAATGCTGCTTTTACTACTGAACGAATCATTAGATAGGTTAATTCGTTGGTTATTTTTTCCAAATAGCTTTGTGTGTAAGAGAAATTTTCTGATCCTTTTTCTGTAGACTACTTTGCTTTGGAGAATGTAGAGTGTTGGAGAAATAATGCTAGAATTAGGATTTATGCATAATTTGGATTCCTAATAGTGCAGCTGACTTACTGCATGACCTCTGGCAAAAGCTATGCAAATAGTGAAAACCAAAAGATAGTGTTGATTGAATTATCTTCCTTCTGACTCAATTTTGTAATCCACATGTGTATAGGGCTCTTGAGATTCTTGGAACAGAGAAGCTAAATGACTTCTATATATTCTAGCCCAAATGCATTAATTTTACTGAGACTATGAATTGTATCTGTTAAATTTCTTACCACCTTTCTTTTGATAGAAAATACCCTTCTGTTGCATTTACTCTATTCATAATATATTCCGATATTCATCTGCTCTTCTTTCCATTAATATTTCATTCAAATTGCAAGGTGACATCATTGTTTACATACTGATATTTAAACATCTTTCCTGGGGAATATTTTCCCTTTTTATTGTTTAAACAAGGTAGCAAGCAGATGAATTTAAATTCAAGCTGAAGATAAGTTTTATATACATGTTTTTACTCTACTGAACACCATATACAACTCAAACTAAATATAGCCCCCCAAATTCAAAATCCAAAATGTAGGTGGAGGGAAAATATTTATTCTTCATTAAGCCTACTTGAGCTTTTGCACAAAATCTAGTATTCATGTCATTTCCCACCTAGAAAATACGAGATGAATTTGACATTTAAAAATATACTTTTCCCCTCCAGAACCAACTTTCACAATAGTTTCTGCAAAGCACCAAAGGCTCAAGGGACAATCTTTAAAATAGCAGTTTATTTCCTGATTTCTTTTTCAGAATTAAGATAAAATTGTGAAAATAAATGCTGGAAGCCTTCAAGTTGAAACTTACCCATTGAAAAATAACATACATGTCTCCATTGTCAAAATGTGTTTAAAAGGGAAGAGCTTAATGGTTTCTCATTTTAGCAACCCAGATGTTTGTTGTCAGCTGATCCTATTATTATTAATAGGACTCTAATTGATATTAATTCTTCAACAACTAGGTTAGCACTTTCTCGCTGTTTAACTTCTTCTCTATGGTTGCCACATTTAACTGTTTTTTAAATTCCCTCCAGTCAAATTCTACATGACCTTGTCATCTGTAAAGATAAGCTGTAAAGATAGCAACTTTGTTTAGAAATACATTTTACCAAGCTTAAATGCTATCGAATTCTCATCAGCCAAAGAAGAGCAAGCCACACTTCGTTTTTTAGATGGCTCACATTGTTTTCCATAATGTAATGACTGGAACTTGGGATGTTTAAATGGTACTTCACGGTGCAGACGTGGTCTAAACTTCCTCGTGATTATACGTATGCTTTTCTATGGTGCGCACTAATCTCTTCTGCCTTGGGTGTTTTAACAAAATGGCTGAAATTTTCAGCCATTATGGATGAGTTATTCAGCAAATCTGTAAAAGCAATTCCACTTGACAAGCCTATAGTACTACTTTAAGTGATTGAATCTCTTTGATTCCACAATGGCAAGGTCCTTATTATTCTTGCAGGAATTTTACAAGTTCTAAGAATATTTCCAAAATGCCACTAGCCACACTGCCAAAGAGAGACAGGCAATTCAGTCAGAACTATACTAATTTGATTTAGGGAACCCAGTTAAAGCAATGATTTCTTTTAGGGAAAAAAAATAAATAAAATAAGATGATTTGTTATACTTTATACTCATACGTGCTGATCTTTTATTGGATGGAGTGTCTTAACGTTCAGTCCATTAACATGGCCTTATTCTCTTGCTTAAATTTATTTTCTAGTAAATGAATGGAAGCCACAGAATTGGTGAGGTCATGAAACTTATTTATCTGAAACACTGAATTGTATACATCCCTTAAAGGCAAAGGGATGTTTTTTGCCCTGAGGGTATTAGTCATGGTCCATAGTTCGTGGGAAAAACGAAGGAAGTCTCAAAATTGTGTTCCTATTATTTCCATTTCTCTAAGACTTTGTTTGAATTCCAAAGTGAATTTTCTATTATCCCATTGTACATTGCATAGGAGGGTACCAACCAACAGCCTTTGGGGAGCAGCACCTGCAGTTACATTCAAAGGCATGACTTTTCCAAGCAGTTTGTGAACTGGCCGGCATTGTCCCTGAAAGGATAAAGGCCTAGGTTCTTTACCTGACTGGCAGAAGCATTCCAGCACCACGAAAGGACTCTAAACATTGTTTTGTAAGTAATGAGTCCTGCTGGTTTCATCCTGCAAGACACTGAAATCCCACAGGGAAAATGTGGTTGGAAATAAAACAGAGGGCTGGGGCCTTTAATGAGTTTCCTATCCACAGATGCCATCAAGCTTTTATACTATTCATTTTATTTCTACAGCTTCAACAAAGATTCCCAGAGTTGTGGGCCATACTCTTAACACTGAAGTGCATAGAACTTGGCAGAAATCTACACTTCAGAGATAATAACATATCATTCCATGAAATAAGAAAAAGGCATAATCAAAAAAAGAAGTTAAATATGGAAACCTGTTTTGACAACAAAGAAATACAGACGAAGCCAGACAGGAAAGGTGTTATGTATGCATGTTTTTTTCATGTTTCACATAAATTATGATATTGTAAGAACCTATCAAGTTTTCTGTTTTCTTCTTTCATATATTTTTAAAAGTCAGATAGATTATTTATATTGTTCTCCATCTTATATCAAGGAAAATTTTCAGACTGGTGCTTTAAATGAACAGAACACTTGCAAAATCCATCAAAAACATATATGGCTCATTCCTCAATTGCATTTTATTAACTATTATAGTTGGAAATTCCTTAAAGTCACTTGGATGTCAAACAAAATGAAATTAGACTTTCTGAATTAAAAAAAAAATTGGAAAAATGAAAAGCAATTGTTACTTAGGAGATGGAAATTACCAGTGGAAACAAATATTCATCACATGTATTTTGTTAATAAAGATAATTACTGAGTTATAGAAATTTCCCTGAAATTTGTACCGGGGGAAACATCAAGTCTCATCAAATTTTTAATTAAATGACAGATGAGGGATTTTTTTTTTTTTAGATTTGTAATTAAAAAAAATATATACTTAGATTTTTCCAATCTTATAAAATTATCCCTGGCTTTATTTTTCACTTACAAAGGGTTTTCATTTATATTCAAACTAGAAAATTTTGCAAGAGACTAAGAGCAAACCAAGAATCATAGAGAAACTATACCATAAAAATCTATCCCCCCCCACCATCTCTTTCCAGAAATATTTTTATTTTAAAAAATATTGAGCTTCCATTTTGAGAACTTGATATTGACACTTGGCTGAATTTTTCAAATTGACTTCTGATAAGTCAAAATTCTCTGAATGTTTTAGATTTTACAATCCTATCGAGAAAATCATTGTTGCTTAACTAAATTAATGATAAATCTCAAAAATGATATTCTGAGTTATTATTAATAAAAAATAATGCTGAAACAGCTAGTAAAAATTATTGAAACCATTCTACCATTTCTAACATGTCTGTTCCAATGCAAATGAAGGAGAAGGTAATAATTCAGGAGAGAGACCTATAAAAACTTAAAAAAAATAGATATGCAAGAGACCTAAGTTGATGAACCTTCTGAAGTAGATGCTTGAGGTAGTTCAAAGGTATTAATGGAAAAAAAAAGAAAAGAAAAGCTTTTTGGAAACAATGAATGAAGAAACCTATAACATTTCTATCCCTACCCCAAATCATGTGTTTTAAATTCCTTAATTAATAACTTTCTGCATTTTTGTTCAACTGATGTTTGTAACTAAGAGGCCAATATGATGGGAAAATTAATGTGTATTCAGATTCACGGATAAAACCCAGAAGTCAGAGCCCTTACTTCTACCACGTCCACCATCACCTCACACATTTTCTTTTCTTCACTGCATGAGTCAGAAGAGCAGCTTTCATTCTTGTGAGTGCCTACTATGTGCCAACCATGTTAATGTACATTTGCAAAAGAACAACTTCCCACAACATAGATTGTTATTCCCATTTTATAGATGAGACTTAGAAAGTTTACATAAGAAAAGTTTCCCAAGCTCAGACCCCTTTAAAGAAGTTGATCTAGGATTTGAACTCTTTTTCACTCCAAAACCTATGATCCTCACACAAAACATGCTGCATTGCATGTTAACTTTTATTCCCTCTTCTTTGTATACTGTGTTTATGTCTCTATTTCTTCTCTTAACTCAAAGAGCCTTTTTCCAGATGATTTGATCAGTGAATTTAGTCAAAATGATCAAATGGGTTAACATTCGCAGATTTAATCTGAAAGCATCAATTGAGAGGATTAATTTTTCTTAAGTGAATTTTCTAAGCTTGGCAGTTCAAATAATGTTAAATTAGTGGAACTATATTTAGCACATAATACTGCTTGAACCAACTGTAATACCTGAGATCAGAATGGTGCATCAAATATGAAAACTACAGAGAACTGTCAAATAGGAATGCCATGATCCCAGCAACAATGGGAAATCATAAAGAGAAGAGACTAGCAAAGATGGGACAACTTTAACAAATTGAAAAGAAACACTTCCCAAGAAACAGTAGATAATAGAGGTACACTTAAATTTAAGAGACAAGGAATTTTTTACCTATATACTATTTGTCTTTAATCAGAATCATTGCATCTCCACATTAGGCAAATGTTTTAAAGTACATGCAAGATTTGACACTATCAAAGAATTTTCCCAGTTGTTTTATTGATTTTGACAACAAAATAGTGGTTTGGGGCTTCATTTGCCCTCTGACTATCTCTTTGGGTTTCCAGACAATTTGATAATTTAATTCTCTCAGAAAAAAAATAGCATTGATTTACTATTATGTTTGCATTATTTTGGTCTATTTCCTAGTATTATTTATCTTACCATGAATTTTAAGTGACAATACCTTGACATTTTAATTGCACATTATTTGGAATGTGTTAATTTAGTCAGTTAACCCATTCGAGATTTTTTGGTTTGTTTTTGTTATTCAGAATAGCAAAGACTTATATTAACCCTTGTGGTTTTAGCAAGCAATGGTTTGAACTAATTCAAACTAATTCACTGGTTAAAAAAATTAACATGCAGGAAAAGTGACTTTATTCCTCAATATGCATTAAACAATGGCCTCAGTGACTTCACACACAGAATGTATTTGAGGGGAAAGTGACATCTTATATTGGTTTTTGATTGGGAATCATGCACCTATCTCAGCTTTTTGGTCAAGAAATAATAAAACAGGGTTTCATGTTTGTGGAGCTATGTGAAGTTTAGAAATTTGAGCTGATTTTAAGGTTTACAGACTTTAATTTGGGAGAAAACATTGGAGACTTGGATTTCACAAAGTAATTTAAAGAAAAGGTATTCTCCACATTTTAAGGACTACGGAATTGGAGTCATCCGGCAAACAGTTAATATGAAAGTTATGCACATTCTTTCACTGTTTGCCATTAATCTTAATTTCATTTTTAAATTCTTCTCATTTTAACACAAAACGTGACATGAACCTTTTCAGTCGTTTTGAATCGATTTTTGTTTCCACAGGCACATCTTTAAATGAGCAGAGCTTTGGGAGACTGAAAAGAAATTTATGTAGGAAATCTGTAAATTATGGAGAATGTATTCTGGCAATACCCTACTATGTACCAAAAATTACATATTTTTTTAAACAAGCAACATTCAGGATATAAATAGATTCTATGCATATGTTTCTAGAGAAAGTCTCTTAAAGGCTTATGGTCACATATAATGGAAAAAACAACACACAAGAAAATTTCTATGCGTAATCTATTGTTACTACCTATTTTGTGTAAGCAAAATAAGTAGCAAATTATTTCAAAGGTAAATAACCCTTTTTAATGCTTAAGTTATTTGGTAAAGTGAACAAGTTTATTGCTAACTAGTATTTTGCATACATACCATAAGATACAAAATAGCACGTGCTTTCTATTTATGTTGGTTACCAATCTTGATATTCAAGGGAAGAGTGTATAAAGTTAACAAGCAATTATTATTTGGCAAATTAGTACTCAACAACCCTGAGTAAATAAGAAGTTTGAAACCTATCTGTTATACAGCTACTTTAATTTGCATAGCACACTGGTGTGTTTGCTTTGCAAATACTTTGCAATGAATCATCATTTGTACTATACAGTCCAAAGAAAAGCAATCAAAATTCACAGCAAGACAATGAAATTAATTATAACTGTTGAATTCTGTGGTGGTAATTCCTCCTCATGCAGGAAGATTAATTGCATTGCACTTTCCTTGCACTCCACTAAATGATCTGATGAATGTATAATCATTTACAGATTTCTCAAATGCTGAAAATTGATTACCTTTGATTAGCTCTGATCTGCACAAAGAGCTCTGACAGAGTATCAGTGAAACATTACAACATTACAGACAAAGTAACAAATGATTTAATTACCAGTGTGCTTATTAATGTTAGATTCCCTGCAGTGATCCTGGCAAATCAGGGGCCTGTAATAGACCTGTGGGTTTCACTGAATTCCATTAGGGTTTAAATAATATTTCTCACTATTTCTCAAATCCTTCTTTTCATGGCTCCTTAATAACTCTAATTAATTTTAATTTGCACAAAAAAAAATCCATGGCATCTTTAGAAACTTTTAATTAGCTATAAAATAAAACTCTTCTCCTCCCAAGAAGACATATATGATCAGCTTTGGAGTAGACTCACAAATAAGTTTTCATTACTGGTAGTTAGCTCTCCATAATATTATTAAATGAAAATCTAAAACAAATGTTGAATTGCGTATGTGGTCCAAATCTCTCTCCTCTTCTAGTGGCAAACAAAATGAAAATTTTAAAACGAGAACCAAGTTAAAAAACAGTATGCTAAACTGTTTAGATAGTAGTGTGGTAAGTAAGCAGCATCATAATACCCTCTCCTTTTTGTCGCAAACGCATACTTTCAACCATTTTGTTAACTAAAGTATAGAAAACACACTGATTAAGAAGCTTCAGTGTATGTTGAAAGAGGATTTGAAAATGCAAGAGCAAGAGAACACTGGCCCAGTTAGACACAGAATGTGATGAATAATGTTGGCACAAACAAATCAAGCTTATCTGGGCTTGTACGCGGGAACATTCTGAGATCACTTCGGATTGGCAGCTTTCAGGGCTTTCCTCAATTTCATGCCATTATATATGACATTAAATTATTGTGAAGCAATGACAATGAAAACCCAGATGATCAGAGGAGTCAAACAGAGCAGCTTAAATTAAAATATGTGGCTGCAAGTGTTTCCAGGCAAAGTAAAATTAGAGGGTAGGCAATTAAAAGGTTGTTTAGCACAGAATGCTGATCTACAGACAACTTTATAATAATATTTTTTCACAGTGGCTTTGCAGTTCTGCAGAGACAAGGCAGTGCTGCAGGTGTTTCTGGGTGGCATTTCAAAGCCACTAGCTGGAAAACTTAAGACATGGGGATATGCAGCCCCCAATGCTAATGAAAACATTTATTATGTTCCGTGCTGTCAGCAGCTGAAAAGCTATCCATCACAGGGAAATAGCACCAAGTCAGGAGTCTCTTTTTGTGGAGAAATATTGAAGTCAGATTGTTGATGTCAAAAGTCAAAGTCTAGTTCAGCTATCTGTTTTATGAATCTGACTGAGACACATTGTGCCTGTGCGCAAACTGATATCTAGCAGAGCTCATTTTAGCAAATGTGTGATTTAGAAGTCAAAAAAACATTCGTACAACCAAACTCATAGCAGGCAGAGGCTGTGGCACGCATGCATAGTTTTTACATTTTAATATGACACCGTTTGGTAGTGTTTATCATCTGAAATCCAAACCATATCAACTCTCTAGCTACGATATTTAAGATCTGTGTACTTTCAAAAAAAAAAAAAAAGAAATTCACACAGAATAAGAGAATACATTAAAATACCGCCACAATAGCAGAGTGACTGGCCTTGTTGGGCATGGTTTTGTTTTCGTTTTCTTCTGCAAATCAAACCACAAATAAATAGTGAATTCACTTTATTCCCAATTAAAAAATAGACATGCGAGGTCAAAATGAGATGAGTATTTAACAGCCACCAAATTGCAGACACGGCTCAAAGGCCTTTTTTTGGACATATGCACATCATTACACTCCTGAAACCTCTATTATAACATTGTTTATAATGTCTGAGTATATATGTTACACATAGCCTTATGTACCAAACATCTCCAATAGCCAAATGTCGCTGCGTTTGTAGAAAACAAAAGTAAAATAAGAAAAGGAAAAACAAAAAAAAAAACAAACAGAGTGAACTTACTATGCTTAGGGCTTCTTTTTTTTTTTTTTTTTTTTTTTTTTTTTTTTTTTTTTTTTTTT